TCAACTGGCTGAGGGATGTCCGCTTCAAGGGTAAGTGCTGCTGCTGCTGCTGGCAATGAATTTTCCCATTATTTCGCATTATTCACATCAATTCTCCATAATTCCCAAAATACACAGACGAGGGCGGGCGATTGTTTCGCTTCCTTGAAAACGGCGATGCGCCGTCCCGCTATCGAGTTGTAAACTACCAGCGCCTCAGCAACGGCTCCTACCAGTGGAAGGAAGTGGGCACGTATATCAGTGAGTATCATTGCACAATCTTTACAAAAAATCATTTTTGACACATCTTAACCACATTTTTCCACCCACCAACTTTTACACTTGCCACCTCTACAGTGAACATGGACGAGCAGTTCTACTCCAGCTCGGTGGCGAACAGCCCCTCGCAGATACTGAAGTTGAATCAATCACTGCTTCGTTTCAAGGCCACCCAGCCCTCCTTTCCGCAGTCCTTCTGCAGCGAGCCCTGTGGCCCCGGTCAGGCGAAGCTCAAACTGGAGGGGGACACCTGCTGTTGGCTGTGCACCAACTGCTCCCAGTACCAGTACCTGCCCAATGAGTTCACCTGCGCCGACTGTCCGCAGGGGACGCTTCCGGACGAGGAGGGCGGCAAGCGGCGCTGTGTGCCCCTCACCCCGCTGCACCTGTCCCTCTCCAACTGGTGGACCATCGTCTCGATGGGCATCGCCACGGCGGGCATGCTGGCCACCGTCTCCACCTGGCTGGTTTTCTGCCGCTTCGCCGAGACGCCGGTGATCAAGGCGGCCGGCCGCGAACTCAGCCACCTCCACCTGGCCGGCATCCTCCTCTCCTTCGCCATGACCTTCGTCATCATTTCCCGCCCCTCCCCTCTTTCCTGCTCCCTCAACCGCTTCCTCCTCGGCTTCTGCTACACCGTCTGCTACTCGGCCATCGTCACGAAGACCAATCGGATCGCGCGCATCTTCCGCCACCGCTCGACGGCCAAGCCGCGCTTCACCTCGCCGCGCTCTCAGCTGGTCATAACCGGTCTGCTGATAGCCATCGAGGTGGCCATCAACGTCGCCTGGATCCTCTACGACCCGCCCACCACCGAGTTCGTCTACCCTGCCCGTGACAAGGCGGTGCTCATCTGCTCCGGCTCCGAACGGACCTCCTACCTCCTCGGCCTGCTCTACCCTCTGGTTCTCATCGGTTTCTGCACGGTGTACGCCTTCAAGACGCGCAAGTGCCCGGAGGGCTTCAACGAGGCGCGCTACATTACCTTCACCAATTACACTACCTGCGTCGTCTGGCTGACCTTCCTGCCGATGTTCGTCCTCCTGGGCACCATCACCGAGGTCCGCTACCTCCTCATCTGCTCGCTGATGAGTCTCAGCGGAACGGTGCAGCTCAGCTGTCTCTTTGTGCCAAAGGTAAGTGCTGGGATTGTAGTGATAAAGCTGAACTAAAAGTTTTAATTACTTATTTAAAAACTACTGTTTTTATCTTGAAAACGATGATTGAGCAGATGTACATTGCCCTGCTGAAGCCGGAGAAAAATACCCGCGNACCCGCTGGTCCTCATCGGTTTCTGCACGGTGTACGCCTTCAAAACGCGCAAGTGCCCGGAAGGCTTCAACGAGGCGCGCTACATTACCTTCACCAACTACACCACCTGCGTCGTTTGGCTGACCTTCCTGCCGATGTTCGTCCTCCTGGGCACCATCACCGAGGTCCGCTACCTCCTCATCTGCTCGCTGATGAGTCTCAGCGGAACGGTGCAGCTCAGCTGTCTCTTTGTGCCAAAGGTAAGTGCTGGGATTGTAGTGATAAAGCTGAACTAAAAGTTTTAATTACTTATTTAAAAACTACTGTTTTTATCTTGAAAACGATGATTGAGCAGATGTACATTGCCCTGCTGAAGCCGGAGAAAAATACCCGCGAGACGGTGATGTGCGGCGGGCACTACAGCCGAGCACTGTACAGCAACTCAGTGACCACCTCATCCAGTGCGACCATCAACCGGAAGGGAGGTGGAGGAGGAGGAGGGCTAGCCAACCACTCGGGCNTTCCTGCCGATGTTCGTCCTCCTGGGCACCATCACCGAGGTCCGCTACCTGCTCATCTGCTCGCTGATGAGTCTCAGCGGGACAGTGCAGCTTAGCTGTCTCTTTGTGCCAAAGGTAAGTGCTGGTGATGTAGTAAAGTTAATAGAGCCTAACTAAAAGTTTTAATTTCCCATTGTAAAACTACTGTTCCTATATTGAAAACTGTAATGAGCAGATGTACATTGCCTTGCTGAAGCCGGAGAAAAATACCCGCGAGACGGTGATGTGCGGCGGCCACTACAGCCGAGCACTGTACAGCAACTCGGTGACCACCTCATCCAGTGCGACCATCAACCGGAAAGGAGGAGGGGGAGGAGGGCTGGCCAACCACTCGGGTNTGTACAGCAACTCAGTGACCACCTCATCCAGTGCGACCATCAACCGGAAGGGAGGTGGAGGAGGAGGAGGGCTAGCCAACCACTCGGGCGGAAGCTCATCGGCGCCGGGTAACCTCCAGCACAAGAGCAGCAATGGCAATCGTGGCCGCCATCTGGGGCAGGGCAACAACTCCGCCATTATCTCCAATGAGGCGTCGAGCAACTCCAGCGAGCTGGACACGACCACCACCACAGCGGCGATGCACAATGAGGCCTGTAAGCAGCTTTCCTCGCGGGACAGTCAGCTGGAGAGCACCAGCGTCGGTGGGGAGAGCATCACTGCCGGTGGTGGTGGTGGGGAGGGCAGCGTTTACCAGCTGACCAGTCAGAATGGAGGTAGTGCTAATGTTTTGATGGGTAATTCAGCAACCAACAACCCCAACACTTCTTCCACAACTCACAACTACTACCGACCTAATGCACACAAGCGCATTCGCTCTAGTGGATCAACCGTTTCAGAACGGGCTTTGCGCAGTTCCAGCGCCTGCTCTGCTCGCAGCAATGGTGAGAGTGCCTGTGCTGGCATTGGCAATGGCCGACGAGAGGTATGGCCGGGCAAGGTGCAGCAAAACTTAGATTCTTCAGCAGGTGTGGCAGTTGAGCCTTTTCCTCCTCTGCACCGGCGGAAGATCTCACTGGGCATCTCCAGTCGCCCGGGCACTCCTCCTCCTCTTCTCCCAATTCCCGTTCAGCGGTCATCAACGCTGCTCGATGACACCGCCTCTCCATCACCACCCGAGGTTTCTCCGTTGACCTCTCCGGTGTCACTACTCATCTCATCACCGCCCTCAACACCGCCCCCTCTTCCTCTTTCCACCACGACCATCCCTTTCACGCCCGACTCACCCTCCTCCATATCACCTTCAACACTTCGTCCTCTGCTGACGCTGTCCGCATCACCACCGCCGCCGTCACCTTCCTCTCCTTCCTCCTCCTCCTTCACCAACGGTCACTTTGTCCTCGCCTCGCCGTCCCGAGTTCCCAACGGCGTCGGGGAGACAATTGGCGCCCTTTCCAGTTACACTATTGATTTAGCACTAGAACAGCTGAACAACAATAACAACAACAACAACAACAACAACAACAACAACACTGCCGTCTGCCAATTTCGAGGCGCCAACTCTACCTCCTCACCGGTTCTTGCCACCACCACCACCAGTCCTCAACGAAACGGTGGCCTGACTATAGCGGTGAACGGCGGAACGATCAGCTCCACTAAACAGCACCTCAGGACACACCACACCAAAGCCGTCCTGGAGAATGGCCACGAGCGGTGGCCCTCGGTGAGAGTGCTGCAGGAAGTTGGTGCATCGGAGATGGTAGCTGCTGCAAAGACCAATGGAGTCAGCTGCAAGAAGAGATAACTCCACTATGACCACACACACATTCCCTGACATAATCTGACATAATCTGATCATCGCCTTCATCATCCCTCGTCTCATTGATTCCCTTACAATTTCAGTATTTTTGCATCCTTTTTGTTAAGTGTGTTCTGTTAAGTATTTTTAACAACAACAAAAAACTTGAATGTGATTGTGAAGAAGACGCCAAGGCAAAGACTTATTATTAATATTTTAACCGATGTTTTATGTTATGTTATTTTTTGTAACAATAAAAAACTGAACAGTTTAAAAAACGTTGCAATTGCAAAAAGTAGTTTTTATTTCATTCATGACAAGAAAGGTAAAACTTAAAAAGTAGTAGACAAACAAACAAAAGTCAGACAAAGGACAGAAGGTGATGAGGCAGGAGAAAAAAGGAAAAATTTTGTACATAAAAATGGTAATTTTGAGGTCCAGAAAAAGGAGTGCGTTCACAATTTAGGATCGGAAGTAAAAAAAAGTAGGCTAAGGTAGAGGAGGAGGAACTTGGTGAAAATTGACTAAATTTAGAATTTGGCATCGATTGAGTGAGAGAGCAATTTAGTAGATATGGCAAACAAACTGAAACAATTTGGCGCAACTAAAAAATGGAGGTTCAAGAAATAAATAATTTAAATAGGAAAAGGAGTAAGAAATGGAAAAAAGAAGAAAAGTAAACGAGGAGAATTTGTCTGAACTTGTCTGAGCAGAAGATACACACACAGGGAAAGAAGATATAGACACAAATGGCAGACACTCGATGCTGGTGAACTCGAATAAGCCAGTTACCCGGCACCAGCACTTGATAGTGAGTGAGAGGAAAAAAGATAAATGAGGTGAAGAGAGAGAGGTGAAACATTGAGAGATGAAGGGTGATTGATGAGACTGATTCAGAGTTGGGGATGAGTGCTAAGATGAGATTACTGAAGGAGAGGAGGGAGATGTACAGGAGAGGACAGGAAAGAGNGGAGAATTTGTCTGAACTTGTCTGAGCAGAAGATACACACACAGGGAAAGAAGATATAGACACAAATGGCAGACACTCGATGCTGGTGAACTCGAATAAGCCAGTTACCCGGCACCAGCACTTGATAGTGAGTGAGAGGAAAAAAGATAAATGAGGTGAAGAGAGAGAGGTGAAACATTGAGAGATGAAGGGTGATTGATGAGACTGATTCAGAGTTGGGGATGAGTGCTAAGATGAGATTACTGAAGGAGAGGAGGGAGATGTACAGGAGAGGACAGGAAAGAGTGAAGGGAAATGTGGGGATGAGTGAGATGAGGGAAAAAAGGAATTTGCAGTATGGAGACGGAGGGACAGAAAAGATAGAGAGGAAGAAAAAGAGAGGAAAATTTGGAGTTGATGAGCAAGGAAGACGAGGAAGGCTATAAAGTGGAGACCTAGCTAGTCAAAGGTAGGCCAAACTGGTGCACGACTTTGACTGTGATTTGGGGAGACGTAAACGTTGACTAACTTGAAGCTAGTTCTAGTAGCCGCCGCCGCCGCCGCCACCACCGCCTGATGATAATTTGAGATTAGGTGATTAGGTGATAACTATTTATCGGAATTAAGTGAGCTTACCATAGCCGCCACCGCCGCAGTCATCGCCTCCGCCGCCTTTGCTCATGGACTTGCCAAGGTTGCCCAGCATTGACCCTAGGTTGCCCATCATGTCACCCATGCCCTTTCCCATGCCGCCTAGGCCGAGATCGGGAATGTCGAAAGAGATGGTCGTCTGGTGGAAAAAATAAAAGGTTAATGTTTAGGTTTTTGGATTTGTTGTTGTTGTACAACTCTTACCTTCTTCTTCTCACCACCGCAGCCGCCACCACCGCCGCACATCATCATCATTCCACCGCCTCCACCGCCGCCATAACCGCCACCTATTTGGTTTGGGAAAGGGTTAATACAAACGTTGAAGTGGACTCCTCAATGAGTCTTCTAGGGAAACTGACCTCCACCGCCGCCGCCGTAGCCTAGATTTTCAAACGAACAAAATTGATTGATTAGATTTATCATATTGTCATTTAGCTTATCTTCAACTTACCACCACCACCGCCGCCGCCGTAGCCGCCACCAGACGACTGTTCACTCTTCATACTGCGTTGTCGAGTTAAGAAGTTGAGAAGTTCGGGAGTTGTCGGTGCGTCAATGAATGGAATGATTGGGAAGAGGAGGGGAGGATGGATTAAGGGGAGGCGAAAGAGAGTGAGAGTGGGGAAAAGTGAGGTGAGAGCGGGTGCGAAAAAGAAAGAAGACGTGTCAGATTTGCAGTGCAGTTTGCTAGAGTAGTAGTGAGGATGGGAGGAGGACTGATTGTGACTGTGTAACTGTGTGACTGAGGTGTTCACTACTGGGAGGATGCTTGGGAGTATTA